ATTCAGCACGTGTGTGTTGGTTTCTGATGCATGTGATGTGTGTGCAGTAATGAGGAAGCAGTTTGTGGGGGGGGGAATGCATTCTGTGGGACGGGAATAGGATGGAAACTCCCTGGGAAATACCACACTACGTGCTGTGGATGTTGTCAGAGGCGACATATGAAATCCCCATTCAGCGATTTAAAAGGACACATTTTCTGTGTTTGATTTTCATTTTAACAAATCAGTGCAGTTTCTTTTGATGCAGACTTAATTAAAAATACAAATAATACCTCTGTTGCCAGATATTAAACAGCATTAGTTTCTAAAATGAGGATGGTATGTTTATCTTGAAATTGCCTTTAAAGCTGCTATAATCAATATTTTTATATTAACAATGGATCACATGACTACTGGTATGTGAAAGGGAGAATTATTACCCGGCTCTATAACAACTTTCAGCTCATTATTTTGATTTTCAGGCCCCAAAACTTCACTCTTTTGGTTCACTCGTAGCTAAAACTCCACTGTACGCTACCTGCTCGGCACCAAACATCAGACAGACAAAGTTAGCAACTAGCTGGGGAACATAGTGGAGCATTAAGCAGCTAAAGAGCCTGACGTTTCCCTCAGGAGGAGCTGGTGGAGACCAAAACAGGGATAACAGGAGATCCACCAAGCAGCCAAAGACTCAGTTTTTGTATATTCAAATCTGGTTTAAAGTGAGCATACAGAACTTAACTAAACAGCTGGCGTTATGGAAACATATAATGTGACAGTAGCACACTAGAGAGGAGTCAAAAACTCTGTAAACTGACTCAAAGTTGGCTAACATTAGCTGCCATAGTCTACCGGTCATAACAGACCAAGTATGCCTGAATCTGCAAAACCTACTGAAATGAGGTTGTGAATTTTATTGCTTGATACAAAAATATAATGTATTTATATTATAATCTAGTCTCTTCTTTATTATCATGTCTCCAGCTCAAAGCCAGCTCCGTGCAGTTCATGCAAAGAACTCATCAATGACTGAAGGACCACTGCCCACATTTATCCAGGGGCTTAAAATAGTTTGAACCACAGGTCTCACACTGCTCTGGTTTCATCTAATGATGGTGTGTGCTCACTTGTACCGAGGTTTGATTTCACTGTGATGACAGGAAGCATATAGTTGAAATTTTCTGTTTGCATTAATCAGATTCATTTTATTTCAACCAGAGGGCTTCGTTGTGTGTGTGTGTGTGTGTGTGTGTGTGTGTGTGTCTGTGTGTGTGTGTGTGTGTGTGTGTGTGTGTGTCTGTGTGTGTGTGTGTGTGTGAGTGTGTATCTGTGTGTGTGTGTGTGTGTGTGTGTGTGTCTCTCTGTGTGTGTCTGTGTCTGTGTGACACAAACACTGAAGCATCTCCTCCTCGTTCTCTCTGCAGCACCCGTATCCGACAGAAGATGAGAAGAAACAGATTGCCACTCAGACAAACCTGACACTTCTGCAGGTCAACAACTGGTGAGTTTGGTCGTCTTCCGTCGACCCGACTGAAGCGTCAAAGCTCAGCCAGTTGGAGGGAAACCCCCCAACCCGCGTTGTCTTGTGTCTGCAGGTTTATAAATGCACGGAGGCGGATCCTGCAGCCCATGTTGGACGCCAGCTCCTCCGAGACACCGAAAACCAAGAAGAAGACTCCTCAGAACCGGCCTCTGCAGCGCTTCTGGCCCGACTCCATCGCTGCAGGAGGAGGCACTCACCAGCAAGTCACCATGCCAGACGGTACGCAGAGTTCAGTGGAGACTAACACTGGTGGAAGGGTTCATTTCAGGGCACACAGGGAAACATCTGCAACATCTGCAACAGCTACACAACCAAACCAACGAGGAACTAATACTGATTTTATAACCAGGAACATTTACCCATCAGTGTGGAGGACAGCCTTCTGAGATGTTTAGAGATGTCTTAGTAGAGTAGTCGTCACACGTTTATTATATTAATTTAATACTTTAAATCTCTATATTTGAGCAGCGGCTGTTTAACGTTAACAGAAACAGCAGCAACACAGAGTAACATCACACAGTCTGGTTGTTAAATAACTTCCAACTTCACTGAAACAGATCCTGTCTGATCGATCCGATGGATGATGGATAACATTAACAGTTACTGACTAATTAACTGGATACCTTCGGTTTAATTAATGTAAATGGATTTGAGCCGTTCTGTAAAGAAACTCCACTGGGGTCATTAAAGTTAAAAACATTAAATATAAAACATAAATGGTGAAGTTTCTGAGAATCTGGTCACATTGAAATATTATTGAAGCTGAGGGGACTTTCCCAGCAGGTCTCACACACACACACAGACACACACACACACACACACACAGTGCTGGGAGAGTTGGGGGAGTTGGATATCAGCTGACTGTGTGTGAGAGAGTGTGTCGAGGAGAGTCTGAGATGGGCGAGCAGGTCGTTCCCACACCCACTTTCTCCCTTCAGAATGTAACACAAATGTCAACACACACACACACACACACACACACGGACTGCGGCCCCCCATCAGTGGAACGTGTGGGGTCAGGAGGCCACAATGAGCCGGGTCACGTTCCTGAAGAGGAGGCAGCCATCAGAAGCAGGAGACTGATCTGAGGTCTGCTCAGAGTTAAACCTCGTGTTTGATTGTTTGTCGCACTGAGACCAAATTCAGACACAATCACATTCTCCTCATTCGCTTCAATCAGATCGCAGCGTTGGCGGAAAGAAAAACTTCTTGGTTTGACCTTCGTCGCAGCGCAGTCCGACGCTCAACAATATTGTTTACGGCAGGGACTTCACCAAACCCTTCTTATGTATGGACCAGATAACTTAACGAACGTTGCTAACTTAGCAAACTTTACAAAAGTGGTTTTGTTAATTCATTAACGTTGAATCACCTGTGTGTGTACAACTAATCAGCCGCCACGCAAGAGAGACTCTAGAGAGCGCACACTCTCACAGGTATTACCGGGTGGAGCCGCAGCCCGCTCTAGACAACGTCTGAGCATCCACCAGAAGCTCTGCGGCGCGTCCCAGAACCGTCTCTCCGCTCTGCTCCACGTAGACCAGGGCTGGTCCACTTCTGATGGACGCAGCGACACACTGGCAGGAAGTCAGACACAGAAACAGCAAAGAGAATCCGGTCAGCTTTCACAATCCCACGTACAGACTCGCTACAGAACGCTACATCAACACTGTGGCACCAGACAGGAAGTCAGTCAGTCAGAGGAGATTTGAAGCAGATAAACACAGTTTGTTTCCTTTTTAAGGACAAGATACACAAGTAAACAACGTCAGGCAGGAAGGCGCTCTGAAGGCGCTCTCAGTGGCGTTTGAAGATGAGCGGATCACAGAGCCAAACCATGCCGCAGACGTGACGTCATGAAGCCGCGGCTGGTGGAATTTCAGGGTCACGCTGCTCTCAAAGGGGAATTCTGCTTTTGACAAGTTGCTGTTCTTTGACTTTCCCTTTGTGTTGTTCCACGCTCGCAGCCTGTACGACGCTCCAGTGTTGGATTTGTGCTCAAGGACTTAAAGTCTGCACATGTGAAATAATGTGATTGAGCTTGTGAGCGTTTTATCTTCTGACATATGACACAAATCTGACAACAGAACAAAATAATATATAATATAATAACATATATCAGTTCATAGAGACCAGCTCAGACCTCACTGTGCTGCATTCATATGGCGTTAGGGTTCATGTTCGTGGATGAAAGCAGGACGGCGGAGAATACCGGCAAAGATAACGGTTGATTGCATTCCGGCCAAGTTACAGTATTTTACCTTAGTTAAAACTGGGTTAAATGTGACTTTATTTCAGTGTCTGCATGAGCATCTTAACTCCAAATGACATTACTGAAAGCTATGTGATCTATAGATAATAATATATATATAACAGTGTGTGTTTCTGCAGGGCGGCAGCAGGAATGTGTCTGCGGTGTCGGGCTGATATATGCGGAGGTGAGACTAACGCTGACCACAACGTCTGCGAGAACAGCGACTGTCACTGCTAACAGCGACTCTCACACTGACGTACAGAGAGCAGATCAGTGCTTTCACTGACAGCCGGTGGAGATGATGAAGAACATGCTGGATCAAGTATTTGTTGGACCCGTTATCACAAAGGACTTCAAGGGCCAACAACATCAGTGGAAGAAAAAACTCCTCAAATTCTAATTTAACATGCGAGATGCGAGCTGCGAGAGAGAGAGATGTTTCCTGTATTGTAAATGTGTAGACGGACAAACCGACTTTATTAAAGAACTTTAATCTGTGTGGATTTCCAGACTGGGTGTCGGCCCATAACTTCAAACCAGAGGACGACTCTGGGCGAGAGAGATAAGAAACCACTGGAAGAAATCTACGACACCTCTCTCTCTCTCTCTCTCAGAGAGACAGAGAGAGAGAGGAGACACAGGAGGAGAGACAGAGAGAGAGAGAACAGACAGAGGGAGAGAGAGAGGATCGGAGAAGACATGACAGAGAGATAGAGACCACGGAGGACGAGCGTATGAGAGACAGGGAGAGAGACGGAGACGAGAGAGAGACATCGAGAGAGAAGAGATGGAGAGAGAGGAGACAGAG